ATATGAAAGAATCAAGTGGTCCTTAACCCTGACAGATTAACTGTAGTAATATGAAAGAATCAGGTGGACCTTAACCCTGACAGATTAACTGTAGTAATATGAAAGAATCAGGTGGTCCTTAACCCTGACAGATTAACTGTAGTAATATGAAAGAATTGGAAGGTCCTTAACTGTGACAGATTAACTGTAGTAATATGAAAGAATCAGGTGGTCCTTAACCCTGACAGATTAACTTAGTAATATGAAAGAATCAAGTGGTCCTTAACCCTGACAGATTAACTGTAGTAATATGAAAGAATCAGGTGGTCCTTAACCCTGACAGATTAACTGTAGTAATATGAAAGAATCAGGTGGTCCTTAACCCTGACAGATTAACTTAGTAATATGAAAGAATCGGGTGGTCCTTAACCCTGACAGATTAACTTAGTAATATGAAAGAATCAAGTGGTCCTTAACCCTGACAGATTAACTTAGTAATATGAAAGAATCAAGTGGTCCTTAACCCTGACAGATTAACTGTAGTAATATGAAAGAATCAGCTGGTCCTTAACCCTGACAGATTAACTGTAGTAATATGAAAGAATCAGGTGGTCCTTAACCCTGACAGATTAACTGTAGTAATATGAAAGAATCAGGTGGTCCTTCACCCTGACAGATTAACTTAGTAATATGAAAGAATCAGGTGGTCCTTAACCCTGACAGATTAACTGAAGTAAAATGTAAGAATCAGGTGGTCCTAAACCCTGACAGATTAACTGTAGTAATATGAAAGAATCAGGTGGTCCTTAACCCTGACAGATTAACTTAGTAATATGAAAGAATCAAGTGGTCCTTAACCCTGACAGATTAACTGTAGTAATATGAAAGAATCAGGTGGTCCTTAACCCTGACAGATTAACTGTAGTAATATGAAAGAATCAGGTGGTCCTTAACCCTGACAGATTAACTTAGTAATATGAAAGAATCGGGTGGTCCTTAACCCTGACAGATTAACTGTAGTAATATGAAAGAATCAGGTGGTCCTTAACCCTGACAGATTAACTGTAGTAATATGAAAGAATCAGGTGGTCCTTAACCCTGACAGATTAACTTAGTAATATGAAAGAATCAGATGGTACTTAACCCTGACAGATTTACTGTAGTAATATGAAAGAATCAAGTGGTCCTTAACCCTGACAGATTAACTGTAGTAATATGAAAGAATCAGGTGGTCCTTAACCCTGACAGATTAACTGTAGTAATATGAAAAAATCAGGTGGTCCTTAACCCTGACAGATTAACAGTTGTAATATGAAAGAATCGGGTGGTCCTTAACTATTACAGATTAACTGTAGTAATATGAAAGAATCAAGTGGCCCTTAACCCTGACAGATTAACTGTAGTAATATGAAAGAATTGGAAGGTCCTTAACCCTGACAGATTAACTATTAAAACTAAAATTTAGTCTTAGCTAGGTAAACCCATATGAAAATGTTACATAAAATGGAGGGGGGTCAGACAAATATGATACAGTCCTAATCCCATCAGCCCACCACCCCTTATCATAAATGACCAGTCTGTTACTATTTTCAGAAGTTTCTTACAGAATTTCTTCCAATGCTGTCAGGTTACAAAGGCACACAATCAGCCAAGTCACAAATCCTAACCATCCATTCTGCAGTAGTCAGCTCCTGAGAAAACCATGGGATACTGGGGACCCATTCTAACCCTGAAAGAAGACAATTGATTGGTCGGATGGTTAATGGTCCCATATTCTATTTCAGAACTCATGTGTGGAACAACATGGTCCATGCAGTTGGTCTTCAAGCATGCATCAAATATGATGACCCAATTCATACTACAACCAAGTCGGCCTAAACCTTGGCTTAAAATTGATCAGCATCAGAGACATACTGAATTCTACCAGTAAGCACCTAAACATATCACAAAGAAACGAAGGAAAAACTGAAACGCCATTGAAAATTGTAACCCCATATTCAAGAAGCAGAGGAAAATGTTCATTGACAGAAAATGTGAAAAGGCACGAAGCATGTCATAATATAACATGAAAGCTAAAAAGTAGAGAAATAAAAACAAATTTAGAAGTTTCCGACATGCCATAAACAAATGAAAAGCCATCATGAATATTCTCAAACTACACTGATAATTGAAGGCTTATTTTCAAAATACTTCCAACCGGGCGAATATTTCGCTTAAATTATTATAATAGTTTTCAAAAATAGGAAGACAAGATTGAAGAATGAACAACAGAGGATGCTAGGACTTGACACCAAGCAAATAGGAGTGCTATAAGACACAGGTGCTTAATACATGGAATTCAGCAGTTACCAAGTTACAAATACACATATTCAGAGTTGAATACAAAACGCAAAGCTCATGTTTCCATTCCTTTCAGCTGTTCCAGTTCCATGTGAGACATCAGCCACCAGAGGGAGAGAGGCACAGTACAAATGAGTGGTAACTGGACAAAGCCACCCATCACATCAACACAAATGGAACAAAGCGATACGAAGGAGAGAAATGAACGGTAAGACCAAAATTTGATGAAATGTAACCTTAGTTGGGCCTGGCTGTCTTTCTTAGGCCTTTAAATTTTTACATGTTGATTTAGAAGACCTCCGCCACTGAAAGCTAGAAAATTAAAAGTAAATGAATTGATGTCAAGATAATATGCTTGTAAATTCAGTATGAAATCAAATGTCACGTTTTGAGAGACAAATTGTCACCCAACATCCTACAGAACTGATTTTTGTGTTGAATTACCAATATATAACTTCCTGCTCTCTACCATTTCCTTTCTGATCTGAGCTGTTCATTTCAAACATTATTGTATGTAGTTTAATGTAATCAATTTTCAGTGTCTTTTGCCAACTAAAATGTTCGATGAAGACATGAAAAGTTTATCGATAACAACTTCTTTATTATTTGTAACGTTTCAGGGCTACTTATGAAGGGGCAAGAAGTAGCTCTGATACATCACTACAAATAAAAAAACCCAGTTCTAACCATAACTGGAAGTTCTTTTAACTTGAAGATTTTGAGACATTTATTTTGAATTCAGGTTTTTTTTCAACACATGATGATTAACGAATCAGAGAATGATACATTATATTAAAAATGGCCCCTTTTTTATGATGTACTTATTATTCCCAAAACTGCAAATATGCTCGTACCCCTTGTACTGGATTATTTCACCCAGGACTAGGTGAGGTTTCATCAAATCAGAGGTTAGGATGGTCAACTAATGCACTCAGAAACATGACTATCAAATAAAAGCATCCACAACTACTTCTACTGGTATTCCACATTGAAGCAAGTGTGAGTTATTTCAGCTTGATCAGCAATCTTGCAGCTATGTGCCCACGAGACAAGTGAACCATGCTATACACATGTGGGAATCAAACTCTGACCCTCGGTGTGACCAGTCCAAGGGTGCTGAATACCATGCAGTGGGACGTCTAGGGGGCTAAGGTCAGGAAAGCCTACAGTCCTAGCTAGGTCGTATTCACCACTAAGCAGTATTCAACATACTAATCAAATGTTCCTTGTCATAATCCTAACTATAAATTAATGAATCCTTAGATTTAAACACTTTAGAAAAGAACCTCAAGGACCGAACTTAATTTCAAAACTGCATACTTGTCTGCTAACTCAAAGTTATAATGTGATCACTTTAGCAGTCAATGATGGCCCAAATTAACCAGAGGCTGGAGTAGTTCTCTCACAAGCCACTAAATACATTGTCAGGACATGGACTTCCATCAGACGAGCCTAGTCTCCCTTTAATGACCTTGAGTGTATGCTACTTGGGACCAAACATGCTTGTGTGTACTGACAGCATGCATGGATGCCCTGAAAGGATGCATCGGATCATGTGAGGCTGCAAAGGACTACAGATGACTTGTGCATGATTGTGTATGAGCATGAATAACTATGCATGAACTATGCATGAACTATGCATGAACATGTATGACTATATATGACTATGATACAACCTAGTGTGACAATGCATGACTGAAGAAACTGGTGTTACCATGTATGACCTAATAACAGTGTGGGGCACACCACCTAGTATGATAATGTATGACTATGATCCGGTAGGACATTGATTGACCTCATAAGACCATGTGCGGCATCATATGACCACACCACCTAGTATGATAATGTATGATTATGATCCGGTAGGACAATGATTGACCTAATAAGACCATGTGCGGCACCATATGACCACACCTCCTAGTATGATAATGTATGATTATGATCCGGTAGGACATTGATTGACCTAATAAGACCATGTGCGGCATCACATGACCCCACCACCTGGTATGATAATGTATGACTATGATCCGCTAGGACATTGATTGACCTAATAAGACCATGTGCGGCACCATATGACCACACCACCTTGGATGACAATGCATGACTGTTTGATGAAATACGACCATGTATGCCCTAATATGATTATGTGAGAACTAGTTTGACCACATGACCTGTTATGACCTAGTATGACTCTATAGGACCTAGTATAACTATGAATGACCCCATATGACTACAAATGATCTAGTATGACTATATATGACCTAGCATGACTCTATATGACCTGGAACAACTATATAGGACCTAGTATAACTATGAATGACCCGGTATGACTATATATGACCAAGTATGACTATATACAACCTAGTATGACTATATAGGACCTAGCATGACTATATATGACCTAGTATGACACTATATGACCTAGTATGACTCTATATGACCTAGCATGACTATATATGACCTAGTATGACTATATATGACCTAGCATGACTATATATGACCTAGTATGACTATATATGACCTAGTATGACTATATATGACCTAGTATGACTATGAATGACCGTGTGTGTATAACCATAATGACAGCATGCCACATTCAACACTATCATGACGGCGCCCACAGACGGACCAAGGCAAGGGGATATGAAAGCATGTGTAATAACTTGATGATAATTACCTACCCGGTCTGCTGCTGCTGCTGTTGTTGTTGCTGTTGTTGTTGTTGTAGTTGCTGTTGTTGTTGCTGCTGCTGTTGTTGCTGTTGCTGTTGTTGCTGTATCTGTTGGGTTTTTGTATGTGACGATGTATTTTTCTTTAGTATTGTTTGGGCTGGGCCATTTCCATTACAGATTGGATTGTCGGGGAACTTGATCAACAAACGCTGACCTTCACACTCAACGCCCTGAAACACAGAGGTCAGATGTAACGAAAGATTTCTCGCACTCACAGGTGATGGAAGGAAACATGGTTCTAGAAGCAGAACACCAAGAATGAGATTAAATATTTTAAACTATCATAATGTTGTACAAATGCTAAGTTAGATATAAAGTTATGAAAGCTTTCACTTGAAACTTAATGAAATATCCATTTAATGGTATTTTTTTTACCAATATGTACCCTCTTCTGGTTGAATGTTGTTTAATGCCCAGTCAGCAATATTCCAGCTATATCGCTACAGCAAAGATATCACTACGGCCACGACTGAAGGCATGATCACGTCATGCGGACCTTATATATGGGGGTTGTGGACACCCAATACACACCTCAAACAGGGCACTGCACATTCAATACAAACCTTAAAACTGGGGGCATTGGACACAAAAATATACACCTCTTATAAAGGGGTCACTGCATGTTTAATACACACCTTATAAACGGGCACTGGACAGCCAATACCCACCTCATATGAGGGCACTGGATAACCAATAACCACCTTATTAACAGACACCTAATAACCACCTCATACACAGACACTGGGCACCCAATACCAACCTCATAAACAGACACTGGACACCCAATAACCACCTAATATATGGACACTGGACACCCAATACCCAATAGAAAAAAACAGACAGCGGACACCCAATAACCACCTTATTAACAGACACAGACACCTAATAACCACCTCATAAACAGGCACTGGACACCTAATCACGAATTGAAAACAAAACCCACCTTAAAATACGGACACTAGACACCCAATATCCACCTTAAAATACGGACACTAGACACCCAATACCCACCTTAAAAAACTGACACTAGACACCCAATACCCACCTTAAAATACGGACACTAGACACCCAATACCCACCTTAAAAAACTGGACACTGGACACCCAATACCCACCTTAAAAAACTGGACACTGGACACCCAATACCCACCTAATAAACAGGGGCTAAGGGCACCCAATAATACAGGTCGAAGCCAAAGCCACATTTTGAAGGATTTTACAAATGCGAGACAAAGATTACCCCCAAATACCTGTGGGGTAGCTGAGGGGTATCGCCAACACAACATACCTATGGGGTATCGCCAAACACAACATACCCATGGGGTATCGCCAACACAACATACCTATGGGGTATCGCCTACACAACATAGCTATGGGGTATCGGCAACACAACATACCTATGGGGTATCGCCTACACAACATACCTATGGGGTATCGCCTACACAACATAGCTATGGGGTATCTCCAACACAACATACCTATGGGGTATCGCCAACACAACATACCTTTGGGGTATCGCCAACACAACATACCTATGGGGTATCTCCAACACAACATACCTATGGGGTATCGCCAAACACAACATACCTATGGGGTATCGCCAAACAAAACATACCTATGGGGTATCGCCAACACAACATACCTATGGGGTATCGCCAACACAACATACCTATGGGGTATCGCCAACACAACATACCTATGGGGTATCGCCAACACAACATACCTATGGGGTATCGCCAAACACAACATTAATGAATGAACAGTCAGACTTTGTTACCCACCTGTAAAGTTTGCATAGCTTTTCCTGCTGACACAGGCATTTTAAAATTTACAAATGCACAATACTTGTCGGGTAAAAGCCTCACACTGGTCACTGTACCATATCTGCAACAGAGACAAATGCACACATTGTGAAAAACTTATAAACACACCACAGCAACATGGACAGAGGAAATACTCAATTTGTTACAATTTGCATAATTCTATTGATAATTGTCTCATTTACCCCAATTTACTCAAGAGCTATTCCTCAATTGTATATAATTTTCATTATTAGTTTAGTAATTGTCCCACTTACCCCAAAATCCCCATACAATAATATCTCTTTAACATTATGCAGTGTTCAAAATTAAGACGGAAAAACTTTGTGCTAAAAGTCAAAGACATAGGAGGTCCCTTAAATATTTAAATACAGCAGAAAGCCTCCGACATCCCTGGGCCTCCTTATTTTGTTACACTAACATGGAAAATCAGACATTACAAGCAAAACCTGAAAAATAAGTCAACTTACTTTTGAAACATTTGAACCAATTTTTTTTCTGTGACCTGAGGTAAAACATTTCCAACCCACAAAGCAGTAAGACCCTCTGGATTATTGAAACTGTGAACACAAACAAAATATCACATTAGCATCAAATGTCTCACTATTGTCAGTGTATGATTGCAGTGTTTCTATTAGAGGCATAAATTATGAGATTTTCATCCAATTTTTCTCTTTTTTATTGTCTATAAACAACTAAATGTTCAAGACAGCTGTGCACATTTACTGTACAGCACTTTTCTTATAACTACAATGAGCTGGTAACGTGTAGGGCAGACTGGTTTGAGCTGGTAATGTACATAGGGAGACTGGTTTAAGCTGGTACTGCATTAGGCACACTGGTTTGAGATGGTAATGTACATAGGAAGACTGGTTTAAGCTGGTACTGCATTAGGCACACTGGTTTGAGATGGTAATGTACATAGGAAGACTGGTTTAAGCTGGTACTGCATTAGGCAGACTGGTTTGAGACGGTAATGCATAATGCACACTGGTTAGAGCTGGTAATGCGCAAATCAGACTGGCTTGAACTGCTAATGTGTATTGGCAGACTAGTTTGAGCTGATAATATGCATAGGCACACTAGTTTGAGCTTGTAATGTGTAAAGGTAGACTAGTTTGAGCTGGTAATGTGTAAAGGCAGACTAGTTTGAGCTGGTAATGTGTAAAGGCAGACTAGTTTGAGCTGGTAATGTGTAAAGGCAGAATAGTTTGAGATGGTAATGCATAATGCAGACTTGTTTGAGCTGGTAATGTATATACACAGACTGGTGAACTTACTCCATTTTTATATCAGAAGGCTGTGACTGCTGAAAGGACTGTAACCGTGAACTGGACGTTGTTATAAACTCATCTTCATCTGAGAAATAAACCTCGCCTGATAATGAGTTTTCCGCTGCAACAGAGAGGGATAATCATAATTAGGTGTGGAATGATTGCATGAACTACTGATGTATCATGGTTGTCCAGAGCCCTATGTCAATACATGGATGACAACTTAAAACATTAATATTTACTGCCATTGCTGTGCTACACTATCAACAGACGTGATAACATTTTGTAAATTATTAACTTTACCATTTGTTTTTATTTAAAAGATACTTGTTTGAACAAACATGTTACCATACATCATAATATATTTTTATACATTACTCATCAGCAAACAACTAAAGGGACTGCCCTTGACTCCCCAACACCGTTTGTAGAACATGAGATGTGGCGGACATGTTAGGCATTTGTAAAATAGCCACTCAATAATTTCCTTTCATTGGTTGTTACAAGCATGAGGTAATTGGGACTTATTCAGAACCAGAATTTTTCACAGAGTGGGTATGGATAAAGGGTATATCAAACTCAAAGAGACCCTCAAAATCTGTTCCTCATTATCAGTCCCAGGCAAGGGCATAACTGATCATAAAAGTCCACTTTTCCTGCTCGCCGGAAGGTTGGAATTCCAGAGTTACATGTTTGCTGGACTAGCAAGACTATGCATAGTCTAATCAAAATCGCATAACGAAACTAGTCATCCGGTTAAAAAACAACATGGATTTCAACGTCCAGATTTTGGTCGACCGCAGGACTTACCGCTAACTGGGCCACAACAGATATTTTGCAAATCTTTTCATGTTTTTAATCAAGGTGCTCCATTGATTTGATGCACCTCGCAATGTAAGACCCATTTTATTACAATATATATCTTGATTATCGATCACACCGGATTGACTGGGTGCTGCCATTTTGTTCGAAGCAAATGCAAGTTAAATGAGAGGTCAAACTGATTGGTCAATAGGAGGGACATAGAAGGCAAATAACCTGGAAATTCCAGCCTAGTTCGGCAAGGGTTGAAACTGGACCTTTATGGTCAGTTAACGCCCTTCCCTCGGGGAGATGGATCCTCATATTCAAACTTAGTCACATCAACACCAAGCTGTCTTCATGGAGGAATGAGTGGGTTTGATCATAACAAACTATTCACATAATTTGACTTAGCTATATCCAAGGCTGATCATGCTATTTACTCACCAACTCCTGCTAAAAGTGAGTCTAATGCTGTCTGGACAGACCCATGTTTCTTTATTGAAGCCTCTGCTTGTTGTCGTGAAAACCCCATTTCCTGAAAGAAACAGACACAACACCTGTCAGGCTCAAGCTCCTCACAGCGATATTCCGTTAGGGGAGTTCTCTATACTATTGCTGCCACCAGTCAAAACTCCCCACTGTGATAGGTGGCCCCAACCATGCTTGGAGTTGAACTCGCAATCGAATGACCGTTATGTTTACAAACAAGTGACGACTGTCGTGACACCGATTACACTTACCGCTGATGAATTACTTTCTTTGTTTGTCATTTTGAATTTCTATTTCATTTAAAGTAGCCTCTTTAATTGATATAGTAAGAATGTAAGGGAAAAATTGGTTAGTCTGCAATCTCGAACCAATCTGATTATTAAAACAACAAAGTAAATTCATCTGGAAAACATGATCATTCGTAAACCTTTTCAAAATGAAATATGATGGCATTCTTAAAGACATAAGCAGAGGTATAAACGTTACTTATATGGGGTTAGAGGGCAAATTTCAAGATTCTTGTAATGGCCGCGCCCACACTGGTGGCAGCGATGTTACCGAGAGTGTAACGAAGGTGTCACGCGCTGGGAAGGAGCTTGCTGTCAGACTATGTTCGCTAATGAGTCCACACGCGTCAGTGCCTTCCTTAACCGACACAGTTAGAGCCTCTCCCTTATCTAACGTTAGTCACAATCTGTTTTTCTTTCAATTACCATAATCAATGTTATTAAAATCTTCACTAATCCTTAGTACACTTTCACAGAATCATTTTCAGTCCAACATCTGATAGACTGAACATCACTTGACTTATTCTGATAATTTGGGGTATACAATTAACTGAGTGTGTTTCCATATCATAAAGATCACATATTAGGAATAAAACCTGAATCATACAAGCATTTCACACATTTCCTACCATAAGTAAAGATATTTGAGTGAGTGAGTATGGTTTTACGCCACTTTCAGCACTATTCCAGCAATATCTCTGCGGGAGACACCAGAAATAGGCTTCTCAAATCGTACCCATGTGGAGAATCGAAACAGGGTCTTTGGCGTGATGAGCGAACACTTTAACCACAAGACTACCCCATCGCCCTTACAAGATGGAAACATACAAGGGCAATAATCTCTTTGTCACATAATGTCATTCTTACAATAACCGTCAATACAGTTAATCCACTTAATGAATTAGCTTAAGAAACTATGTATGAATACATTGTTTGAGTGAACCGCCTAATTTATCATATAGTGCAAGGTATTACCTTGATTTACAAAAAAATATTTTTAAGGGTCCTTACAGGCAATATAAGGGTCCTGTAAAGTAATGAAATGGTGTAGTGTACTGTACGTTTAGATAATTACTTTAGAGCCTGGAATGAATCAATGATCATCTGGAGTGGTCATGATTGATGGATGAAATGACAGAAACCCATAACTGCTCTTAATGCACTGCAGGTACCATGAACTTTATTGTACATCTCTCGGGAGTCAGTATAATTTTTTTGAGTCCATTCTCTAATTTGTGTGTCCCGTAAAACCGTGTATAGTGCTAAATGACTTGCAACATTTCAGCCACCTAGAGACTAAAGACTAAAGACTACTCTTCATCTAATATCGGTGGCTCCAGTGGGCCAGTCATCCAACTTGCCACGATTCACTGTGCACAGTTGTGTCCCTTGGGCACGCCAGAAACCTATGATTGTGGTTCCTGGTTTGCCCCAGTTATGCTTCTAGGTTTGTCGGCACCATACCCGTGCTCGTGGGTTTCACCGAAGTGGTAAACGTCTGAGACCTGCATCACTTCGGGCTTTCCACCTACATTAAGCTGACATGCTGCGATATAACTGGAATACTGTTAAAAGCGGCATTAAACCCAACTCACTCACTCTTTCTTATATCAGTCTGTGCTAAAATGTATTGAGTCTACGAGCCAACACTTGGCTCTCAGTATCATTTTCAGTAGAATTTATGTTATTATTAACTTATGCTATTACATATAGAAATTGACACTAGTCCTGTAGTCCTTGCCAAACTGCGCAATTGTTAAGGTATCAAAAGGACTTGTAGAAATTTGCCATATTTAAGGGTTTTATTATCTTGATTATTAGCTGACTCTAGTGGACCATACAGAGTTGTAGAGACTTAAGTCACAGACTGTGTTATGATAAATACCTGGGTTAGTGTTTAATCTGTGGGGACATGTAATGTTGTACTCACTGTAAGCTGGTAGGTCCGTACTCGCAACAGCTCCTGTACAGCATCATCACAGTTTTTATCTAGTTTTAGCACCTGCATAAACGCTTTTTCTGCTTCAGGGAAAAGCTGGAAAAGGCAAAGGATTAATGAACATCAACATTCATGTCGACAGTGACAGCGAAGGTTGATGTCTATGTCATCAGAGCATCATATATATGTCACTTTGTAGAACCACAACCAAATTTTATTTGGTATAACTACATCTAAGATTTGTCTTGTTACTACAACAATATGACCACACAATGCCATTTAGAAAGTGGTCAAATGTAGTAAATGTTATATCTGGGGTAACACTTTCTCAGTAAAGTACAGATTTTCGTACTTTTTGGGGTTGAGTCCCATCCGGGATTCGAACCCACACTGCCAGAGTGTGGAACCCACAATCATAGGTTTCTTGCCTGCTTAACAGAATACCACAGTTCTCAAACCTATACACACCTTGAGCCCTGCTAGAGCCCTTCCTTTCCTAAAATAACCTTTTGCCCAGTCCTTTGCAAGAACGATGGCTTTTTCTGCATCACGTAAAGCTCTGAAAAGAAATGAAAAGAATAATTATTTTCGGAACAGTCACACAGATGAAAACTGTGTGTTTGAGACGGTGGAGATTCCACAGCAGCCATCAGTATATCAGCAACAGGAGTTATCACCTTCCCAACAAGCAGGGCCAGCCCTCTGAGGCGGAGCCAGTTGCTTTACAGACTGCCTGCCTTAGTGGTCAAAGGACTAGCGGGATCGGGTGGTCAGGCTTGCTGACTTGGTTGAGGCATGTCATCGTATCCCAACTGCGTGGATCAATGCTCATGATGTCAATCACTGGATTGTCTAGTCCAGACTCGATTATTTACAGACCGCCGTCATATAGCTGGAATATTGCTGAGTGCAGTGTTAAACAACAAACATACATAAAATACAGAGATCAAAGTGGGCTTTTCTTGTGCACAGTTAAATGATTCATCATAATGATTGATCAATGCAGAAAAGCTACGCTGTCCACATCATGATTATTATTATCAATTTCATGTGATCGCAGTTCCTCTTGTATCTGGGCTTACTGTTTGCTCTACTCCTGGGCTTGTGTGAGCTGTTACAGTCATATGTTAGTTACTCATCAGAAACACCAACAGAAGGTCACTGAAAAGACATTTCTGAACTTCTCACCAACTCCACTGAACTTACTTTTCATATTGGTGTATTCGGTCATAACAGTAGGATCTGTTTCCAAAAAATCTGCAAGTAGAATATTCATCTTCATTAGTGTAACACCTTAATATCACTTGAACATTCCACCACATCCTAACTACTAACTCAGGGCTCGAAAGATTTCTCTCAGGGCAGAAGCCCAATCCACTAGACTACGGAGGCGGTATCGATTCATACCTTGAGAACTACCTTATACGAATGTAGACAAAATGTACAGACTATCTAACTGTATCCTGTGTTGACTCCAGGAAGCATGCTAAGTGGATACTTTCATCACTATACATCAATAATACGTGAGGTGAGGTGAGATGGGGTTTAACGTCGCGTCCAAGATTATTGCACTTATATAGCGATGTGCATGTACGTGTGTGTGTATGTGTGGCTGCTTGTACTAGTCCGGACTGATGCCGATTTATAGTGCTAGCTCACTGAGATACCATGCCCGGTTTAACATGAATACCCCACTCAGACACAGTTTACTGACTCTGAGCCGACCAGTCCTTGTTTTAGCCCCTTAATGCTGAGCGCCAGGCAGGGTAACAACAAGTACCATCTTTTAACGTCTTTTGGTATGACCCGGTCGGGGATCGAACCCCGGACCTTCCGCTCTCCAGGCGGACGCTCTACCACTAGACCACAGAGGCTGTCCATCAATAATACAACTTACCTAAAATCTCTAGGGTCTAAATTGATAGCTTCTGTAAAAAGTTCAATGGCTGGGTTGTAGTGACCTAACTGAGCCATTTCATTTCCTCGTACTGAAACAGAAATGTACCAGCAATGTTGCCATTGAAGCGATGAACATACATAAGATTGGTCCTCAGGAAAAAAACGTGGAGATGAATTTTACAAAACTTTAACAAATACTATTTCAACACCTTATACGTGTAGAATCTGCCCACTGCGCATCTATCTATAACATGTTTACAATGAGTGAAGGAGAAGGGTTCCATGCCAATTGAGCAATACTTAAGGTACATCACAGTTGGGTGAGGGAAGAAATGGGCTTCACTCATTGAACAAACTTGAGTCTTTGGTGTGATGAGCGATAATCAACAACCACTGTGAGTGAGTGAGTGAGTGAGTATGGTTTTACGCCGCTTTTAGCAATATTCCAGCAATATCACGGCGGGGGACACCAGAAATGGGCTTCACACATTGTACCCATGTCGGGAATCGAACCCGGGTCTTCGGCGTGACGAGCGAACGCTTTAACCACTAGGCTACCGGACCGCCCCAACAACCACTGTGTAAAGGGGAGACTGCTGTAAGTTTAACACATAACACTCACTTGCTAACTGTCGACTCCGCAGTACTATTGGATCTAAATCTTCCACCTGAAGCAGCAAGACGATTCATCACACATCAATAATGTCTTGTCAATAGTATGTCATAGGAAATGGTGCAATTAAATACCTTAGAATTTATCAACGATTTAAAACTTTGTGCCTGAGGCAGGCAAACTGGGGGAAAAAAAACAATTTGTGATTAATAATATAATGTGAATGTTTTTTAAGTATCTAATTTAGAATCATTTAACATTGGATTCAATGAAATAATGTAAAATTGGGTATTATAGTCTTTTTCTCTTTATTGGTACTGTTATCAGAGAAAATTCAGAATGCAAGTCAAAACCTAAAGAAATGGCTAAAATTAGTTTGAAAGGCCAATTTATTATATACATAAAAAAAGGTAAGGGAAAAGGACTATTTGGGGGATATTTCATTGTAGTGAAGACTGAACACAAATTTCATAAAAATATTTTTAAAAATATTCATGATCCTAACTCTCTCTTTTTTATCAGTATAATTCAATAGAATATCCAACCACGAGCAAATCGTGACCCAAGAAGAATTTTTTACAAAAGTGCGAGCTGTCTTTACCTCCTCTTTATTTCCCCCCCAAAATCATCTTTGTTCAAAGACTTGCTCATGTTTGAATATTAGAAAAACACTTCCTCAAAACCTCTAAAACAGCCATTTTGATTCATTTCAGCCTGACCTCCACATTCAGTGTTGTTCAATGATCCCGTTGAGCCCCAAAAGGGCCCTTATCACACCTTGTCCATTCACTATAATCTTCTTGTCACCATATTCAATTTTTATCAGTAAAATGAAAATTTCAACTAAAATCTGCAACTGCAACTGAATCCGCGTCCCCCCCTCCACCCCAACTAGTTGTGAAGCTAAGTACCTCTTCTTCACTCTTAGCACCAGATTGCTGCTTGTCTTTTGGTTTATCTTTTCTACTTGTCTGTGTTGTTTCTGTCGTAGTCTGACCTTTCTTCTTTTTATTTACAACTTTTGTGAAAAATGCAGAATTAGGATCAAACCCCTGAAAACAACAAGAACAGGTTCATCACCATGACAACCGACTTCTCTGACATCCAAAAGAATCATAAATAGGATGATCCAAATCTAACCCACATGAGATATCGCTCATGTGAAATCTCCTGGAAGATATTTTCTTGGAGATATTACTCTGCTGGTCACCCATTGGTTGATTGCCGTAAGCTTGAGGTTTAATGTTCCAATCAAACACAAAGGATATTTGACAAACACTTGCTGATAACACTTTCATTCATTTCACTCCACCAATGCCACAACATAATATTGAGACAACTTTACGAGTGTGATGTCAAAAAGGAATGTCGTCACATCTACAATATGGCATCTTCCAGAGTCAAGGGAGTTAACTGACTATAAAAGTCCAGTGTCCACCCTTGCCGAAATAAGCTGGAATTTCTGGTTTCAATCGTAGCGCCACCAGTGGCTATTACAGGTTATGTCCTTTCTATGTCCCTCCTATTGACCGATTGGACTATGCATAGACTCTTAAGTCAAGCTAACATAGAACTCCATAACTGCAACCTACTTCCGCAAAGGTGGAATCTGGACGTTTATAGTCACGTAACTCCCTTGCCTCAGGAAGATGACAATACGGCGGTATTTCTCATCAGATTCAGCCCAAACAAGTAACCATTTGAACAAAAAAGAAAACACTGCATCTTTTTAACATCAGCATATGTCCGAAAGATGACGAAGCCCTACTGTACTGTACGCCTGGCCTTTAAAACATCTTGATCTGCTGCTAGCAATGCAGATACCCTCGCCTATGTCAGCAATGACATCAATCAGAGCACTGGAACTGGTAGATTTGATGGTGACAATATAAAGGAATGAGTGTGTGAACTTACAGCTTCTTCTGCTTCGGATGATGATCCACTGTGACCCCTGAAAGGAACAGTTACCATGGTGAAATGCACAAACCAATAAATTAATTTCAAGTATAAACTGTTTGTGAAAATGAGTATGTAATTCATATGAAAAGAGGATTGAATATCCCTCAACACAGCGGTTGTTAATGTTTTTAGAAACTCACTTTTTGTCAGATTTCCTCCCCTTCTCACCGGATTTCTCCCTCTTTGGTTTTTCATCCTGCAAGCATAGAAACAATGCAACAGGTGCTCTTACTCATGGGGAGACAACTGTGCCTTACCTACTCACTGAAAGCGACACATAACACAAAAATCTAATTGTCGCAGATATTAGTAAAAATCTTGGAAATCAACCAGCACAGACACAGTGAAAACGGACCTTAGGCCATGATCAAAACGCATCTTGGATTAAATTCTTTAGAGTGAATGGCCGCACTTTAAATTCACGGGCCCACTAAAATAAAAGTCCTATGCAAAACTGGTCTCAGGCCCAAAGAAATCTGCCAAATGCATCAGTCTTCTGGCATATAGAAGAAAAAAAATTGTTTCCTTTTTTGGCAAGTGTTATGTTTTAAGATTTATCAATCTTTTAACAGGGACTCTCAAGGACTCAACATTACAGCATTATCCATTCCCAACGCCCACTGTCTACAACCGACCTTCATCCACAACCCTTATCCATCACAACCTCAGGGGCGGTTGGGTAGCCTAGTGGTTAAAGCGTTCGCTCGTCACGCCGAACACCCGAGTTCGATTCCCGACATGGGTACAATGTGTGAGGCCCATTTCTGGTGTCCCCCGCCGTGATATTGCTGGAATATTGCTAAAAGCTGCGTAAAACCATACTCACTCTCTCACTTATCACAACCTCATCCACCACCACCCACATCCACATCCACATCCATCACCCACATCCCTCCACCACTCACATCTTCATCCACATCCTCCATCAACCATCCACATCCATCACCCACATCCTTCCACCACCCACATCTTCATCCACATCCCTCCACCACCCCACATCCTCCATCAACCATCAACATCCATCACCCACATCCATCATCCATCACCCACACCCCCATGCACCATCCATCACCCACATCCCCATCCACATCCATCACCCACACCCCCATCCACATCCATCACCCACACCCCCATCCACATCCATCACCCACATCCATCACCCACACCGACATCCTCCATCAACCATCCACATCCATTACCCACATAAATCACCCACACCCCCATCCACCATCCACATCCATCACCCACACACATCCACATCCATATCCGTCCCCTGCATCCACATCCATCACCCACACCGACATCCTCCATCCATCATCCACCATCCACTTCCATTACCGGTACCCATCTCCCTCCACCACCCACACCCACCACCCCCACCCACATCCACATCCACTCCATTGTCGCCTGTACCTTCTGGTCCTGTTTCTCCAGCTTCTTCCTCTCCCGTCTTCTCTGCAAACAGGATATGAAGTACATTATTCGTTGCCACAGTACAATTTTTATCATCAATAGCAGACATCAATTTAACTATCAAAATAATGTATTTCTATTATAATAATTTATTACTTGTATTACATGACTATTGATTTAATCAGAGCCAGGTGTCACACCAGCAGATGGATGGTCACCCCAGCTACTGAGAGATCGACAGAGTGAGATGTGTTTGACGCCACTTTGAACAGTATTTCAGTCATATCTCAGCATGTCGGCTTGGTGTCGGAGCAAAGCCTGAAGATGTTTCTCTCTAAGGCGCTGACAAACCCAGACCCAATGGTACCACGACCAGCGGCAAATTGTGCCTTAGACGCCCTACACCACTCGTCAACTTTTGAAAACATATGCTATACAGAATACAAACAATCTGCATATATATTTGACTTGAGACTTGGAACAGAGAACAGAGACAGGATGCAACGGAAGTTCAATGAATCATTGCAGCCCAAAACATGCTGGTTCCAGTGCAAGTGTTCCTGCAAGAATCTCAATATGGTGAACATACTTTCTTTTTTGCTTTCCGTTTCTCTGCTTTCCTTTTTTCTTTTTCTTCTTCTGTTATAAGTTCTTCAGCATTTCTATTTACCTCCTGAAACATAAAGTTTCCTGTCACACGGATCTAACCTCAGTCACAACATCAATGCTAGACACGGATCTAACCTCCAGTCACAAATCAATGGTCACGTAAGTGAGCTAGCTCATTGCTTAGGCGACTAACGTGATCAGGTGGTCAGACTCGATGACTTGGTTGATGCATGTCATCGTATCCCACTTGCGTGGATCGATGCTCATGATGTTAGTCATTGGATTGTCTGGTCCAGACTTGATTATTTTACAGACCACCGTCATATATATAATCAAGTCAAACCTGTATATAATCAAGTCTTGAACTGTCAATCCAGTGATTGATATGGTGAGCATCGAGCCGTGAGAGTACATATACACGCCATCAACCAAGTCACTGAGTCTGACTGACCACCGATCTATCAAGTTGGCTCTTACAACCACCAGAAATTGCTGGGGACCTATTCTTGTGAAATCCCCATGTTTCTTTGAGAAAGTCTGCTAATAAATAGGGGTGAAACAATACAGGAAGGTCACGATACCATACGATTCATGATATATAGGTCACAATACCATATGTATCACAATACACATATTTTCGTCAAATCTCGTGGGAACTTCTTGACTATAAATATTTCAGAACAGGTTCAAAGGGAAAGGCTAGCTACATGTAGACACATGCTCGAAGTGGCTAATCTTAGTAGTGAACTTGAAACGCTAATTACAACAAATTTACGGTATTTGAGTGACAAAAATGAAGGACAATCGTCTTGCTTCGATGCTGTAAAAAATGTATCATATATTGTATTGTCGCATGAAAACTCATGATGCATTGGTGCACTGATGTATCATGTCACACCCACTAATAAATGCCTGTCCAGTATAAGCAAACACCTACCTCAGCTGTTAGATGGCGGGAGTTGTCTCGCCCTGCAACAAAGGACAGCCATTATTCAACTGCAACAATGACTACATTAAACCCACTGAAGTGTATAGGTATAGGGATCAATGGTACAGTTTATAACCCTGCTAATCAATACACAAGGTTTGTATATATCAAACATACAAATAATAGATGACAACAAAGCTACGGGCCAGAAACTAACAAACAACAACAGGGTAAAGGTCCCAGGGCTACAAGTTTTTCATCAGTCAAATTAACTTTTACAGTTGTTACATTTACTAAAGTCAATAAACAGCAGCTCTAATCATAATATAGTTACTAAGAATTGACTTCAATATTTTTTGTGTTTATGGAGGTTTATCGGTAGGATAAAGCCAACAAATAAAAATGATATGCGCTGGGGTCATATGCAGATAGAGAATTTAATCATTTTATCATATAAAGGGTAGGTTTCTCGGCAGGATAAAGGGTAGAGATACACATATCAAAGGTCAAGTAGGAATTACTTTCAATGTTTACAAACAAACATGGCGTCGCCCTTGCCGTTCGGCAATCGAGTCAGAACTAACCAATAGGAATCTGGAGAAAGTACTGGGATAATTGCTATCATTATCAAAAGAATAGTCTACTATACTGAAAATTAGTGTCTAACTGTGACACAGCTAAGGCATTATACAAGTTTTGGTAAATTTGGAGATATAAATTGTGAAACAATTTAACGAGGACACTAGCCAAGCGGAATAAGTTTCCATATCTGTACTTGCAGACCTCTGTGGCTTGGAACCTCTTCCCAAAACTAAAACAGTTGGATTTGGTCGAAATATGGTGTGTTTGGGGTAGTAAATATCCTGTATTAGGAATAAACACTATGTATTTAGTTCGCCAAGGCTCGCTAAATACAATGTTTATTCCTAATACAGGATATTTACCATCCCCAAACACATTCCCATAAAATAAAAAATAACTATTATATATGTGCTTCTGCCATGGGAACATCACAAAATCTGCTTCTACATTCTTGGATTCATCATATGTTTAAATCTACTTGATCTGAGGTGATCAAATACTACATTAGAATATGGCTGCTGACAATCTTGCTACATCTCTATGGTTACACCACCAGCAAGAGATAAGATGTAATATCACCTCGACGTGATAGGTAGTTCCCCCACAATGTGTCAGCTTACTGTTGGAGGAAAGCCCCTAATATGGCACTTATACCACCTTGGTGAAACCCAGACACATGGGTATGGTGCTGACAAATCAAGGATCATAATCTGGACGAATATTGGATTGAAACTGATGATCATCAGATACTAGCATGGCTGAGGGAGGGAACTGAACTTAACCCGCAAAGAGCTAGTTTGCACATCATCAAGGATCATGATGAATCTTGGAGCAAACCCTATTGTCAGCAGATTCTGGCACAGCCAAGGGAGGCAACTCAACACAAGCACGACCTTCCTGTGCATGTTATAAGTCACATGTACTTTTATGAAGTGCAAAGAGATACTGTTACCTAGCATTTCATAGGTCACTGATCAAATATTCATGACACACAAACAGAGCTTTCATATCAGATATTGATTCAATCACAGTTGACTTTTTCATACATTCAGCTAGACTAGGAAAGACTGGATAACTGGATGCCTTTGTTGGTTCTGGTCACAGTATTTCCTGGAATAGATTGATTTGAAAACTCACATATAAATCATGGGATGGCTGACTGTGGGTCATTACTAGGGCTGGGACGATAGACCAACTACGCGATCCGATAGTTACCAAGATACCTTACTCATGATCCGATATGTATCACGATATTTGCATGTGTTCTCTGTGGTGCGTAAGCCATCTTTTTCACAGACAGAATGGCTAAATATACCTGGCACACTGATCATTTACAGTTGGCAGTGTCAAGTGTGGCGCAATGGATGAAAATATTTATGTTTTCACTATTAACTTGCACTACTGATAAGTGTTTAGTTGAACAGTTATTAAAGCAAACATTTAAGGTCAGAAGTGATATTTTAACTTAAAAAAAAAATCGCAATCCCCCGATGCAGCGGTGTATCGTTCCACCACTAGTCAATATTGTCATCACACAACATGCTTATTCCCAAGTCACTGGTTGCCTGGTCCAAACTTGATTATTTACAGGAAACATGAACCAGCTCAACTCGGTTCCATGAATTGACACTTAATAAGTGTTCAGCCACATGCTCCAGTGACAAATAATTTCTCACTTCGGAAACATTTTGAAGAGACTGAATACGACAAATGAAATTAAACCAGTACTATCCATAGACAAAACAATCACACAAAAAACATGCCCTGCAAAACAATGCAGTGTGTGTGATTCCATGTTGATTTTCTAAATCAATAAACTTCTTTCTGCAATAAACAATCCAGGGTGAATTAGATCTGACTCTGAATGCCGAGCAAATGAATGTTTAATGATGACAACTAGGCCCAATACGCGGCTGCCATCTTGAAGGCGCTCCATCAGTTTGAGTTATAACATCAATGAAATAAAACACACGACCCTTCCTTGCTATGAACAGCAGTACTCAATCAGACATTAAAATATCAGACAATATATCCCTTGAGGGCACATTGATATGCTTATACCATGTATACTGTACAAACGTTCAAGCTTCATGCTGACAAAGCATAAATGCAACACCTTGAAGCACAGCGTTGACAGCAACATCAAAAACATTTACACCCTGAATTGGTTGAAATAATGAATACAACCAGTGCCAGTGAACAATCAAAGAAATGTGGCACTAAATTAGAGTGAGCAATACTAAAGCTCCTTCACTATCACATAAAATCTTGCCTGGACAAGTTAAGCCAGATGTTGATTATGTCTGAAACAGTCCACCCACATGGTGTGATGACACTCAATCCACAGGGGAAGCCAAGAGTTGCTTCTTTCTAGTGGTTGTCCATCCATGTACTTTTAATAAGCAGTAGCCATTTTGACCACCTGCACCCACTCCCCCACCCCCCAAGTAAGAAAGGGGTACAGACAGAGGACCTGTTCTTTCTCTCCTCCCCCACCCCAATTCACAAAGAAGGCTTAAAATCGGAATAAAAGAGAAAATGGAACACCTACATATATGATCACTGAGCCGGACAGTGCAGAGGCCGCCGTCAGTCCACATATCCCACCTCAACAATGGCCTAGTGTATTAGATGCATGAAGCGGGTACATACCAATATACTGTAGTCTCGGCCATGCATTATTTATTGCAGGCATTTGAAGACAGCTTTGACATCAACTCTAGAATTATTGATTTGAGACAAGTTTTATTCTTTTCTTTGGTTTACCCTATTTTTTTTAGTCCAGATAGTAAATGGGGGTTGACAAATAGTCGAGTGAATCATCAATCATTACTGGCTAGTGTAACCATAGCAACTGCCACTGGATAAAAATACCTGTACCTTTTTCCCGTATTTCAGCGGAAAATGATGATCTTTTGACAAAGCTGTGATAACCCTATTTTGATACAAAACCACATCAATAGAAAAAATTCAAAATACAAAATGCTGCCACTGCACTGTAGCTGACCTTTATATGTAGTCAACAGTTTCAAATGTGAACAAAGATAATTAGTTAACAAAACCTTTTGACAGCATTGATATATTTTTAGCATAAATATCGAGGATAAAACAATCGACACTAAAGTCTGAATCATTTGAACCAAATATGATGCCTTTATAAGAAACATTGAAACCAATATTCCTTAAGTTGTCAGGTCACATAGCGATTTGGGTCACACACAGAGTCAGTTCACGCAGAGAGTCGGGACATTTAGTGAGTTGGGACACACAGAGAGTCGGGACATAAAGTCAAGACACACAGAGTCACAAGATACACAGCGAGTCAGCACACAGTCGGGACACACAGAGTCAGGACACACACAGGAAGGTGAGTCAGGTCACACAGCGAGTTGGGTCACACAGCAAGACAGGAGAGTGAGTCAGGTCACACAGCAAGTAAGGAAGGTGAGTCAGGTCACACAGCGAGTTGGGTCACACAGCAAGACAGGAGAGTGAGTCAGGTCACACAGCAAGTCAGGAAGGTGAGACAGGTCACACAGCGAGTTGGGTCACACAGCAAGTCAGGACAGTGAGTCAGGTCACACAGCGAGTTGGGTCACACAGCAAGTCAGGACAGTGTCAGGTCACCCAGTGAGTCAGGTCACACAGTGAGTTGGGTCACACAGAAAGTCGGGACACAGCAAGTCAGGACTGTGAGTCAGGTCACACAGCAAGTCAGGACAGTGTCAGGTCACCCAGTGAGTCAGGTCACCCAGTGAGTTGGGTCACACAGCAAGTCGGGACACAGCAATTCAGGACAGTGAGTCAGGTCACACAGTGAGTTGGGTCACACAGCAAGTCAGGACAGTGTCAGGTCACCCAGTGAGTCAGGTCACCCAGTGAGTTGGGTCACACAGCAAGTCGAGACACAGCAATTCAGGACAGTGAGTCAGGTCACAGAGCGAGTTGGGTCACACAGCAAGAAAGGACAGTGAGTCAGGTCACACAGCAAGTCAGGAAGGTGAGTCAGGTCACACAGCGAGTTGGGTCACACAGCAAGTCAGGAAGGTGAGTCAGGTCACACAGCGAGTTGGGTCACAGCAAGTCAGGACACACAGAGAGTCGGGACATACAGCGAGTCGGGACACATAGTGAGTCAGGACACACAGCAAGTCGGGACTCAAAGTCAAGACACACAGAGTCAGGATACACAGAGAGTTGGGACATACAGCGAGTCGGGACACATAGTGAATCAGGACACACAGCAAGTCGGATCACACAGAAAGTCTGGACACACAGCCTTTCAGGTCACACAGTAAGTCAGGACACAGCGATTCAGGTCACACAGTCAGGACACATCAGGTGTCAGGTCACACGGCGAGTTGGGTCACAGCGATTCAAGTCACACAGTGAGTTGGGTCACACAGCAATTCAGGACAGTGAGTCAGGTCACACAGCAAGTCAGTACAGTGAGTCAGGT